TAGTCCCTGGGTTTTAGTCCTGGTTTAGTCCTGTTTAGTCCTGGTTAGTCCTGGTTTAGTCCTGGCTTAGTTTAGTCCTGGTTTAGTCCTGGTTAGTCCTGGTTTAGCCTTTAGTCCTGGTTTAGTCCTGGTTAGTCCTGTTTAGTCCTGGTCTAGTCCTGGTTTAGTCCTGGTTTAGTCCTGGTCTAGTCCTGGTTTAGTCCTGGTTTAGTCCTGGTTTAGTCCTAGTCCTGGTCTAGTCCTGGTTTAGTCTTGGTTTAGTCCTGGTCTAGTTCTGTTTAGTCATTTTAAATCTCAACGTAAACAAACAGTCTTTCACTTCCTGTTTCCCTCCCTCCCTCCTCCCTGATTGGCTCTGATCCGGCTCCGGCTCCCCCGATTGGCCCCCTCCCGAACGCTGCGCCGTGATTGGCCTCCTCCCGAACGCTGCGCTGTGATTGGCTGCCGGTGTCCTCTGCAGACAGTTAGCCGCATTAGCCCTGTCCTCAGATGAACTCCCCCAGTCTCCTCCTGTCTCAGTCTGCTCCCTCCATCAAATCCAGCCCAAAACCAGACCCGGACCCGGACCACGGCCAGCGCCAGGACCACAGCACCTCTCCTCTCAGGTAAGGACCCGTCTGGACCTGCTTTAGTCCTGGTTTAGTCCTGGTTTAGTCCTGGTTTAGTCCTGATTCTAAGCATGCTGCATCATTAACTCTATATCCTCCTCAGTGAATTCAGTGAAGATCTGATTTTGTCCTGGTTTAGTTCTGCTTTAGTCCTGGTTTAGTTCTGCTTTAGTCCTGGTTTAGACCTGGTTTAAAGATGGGTTAGACCTGGTTTAGTCCTGGTTTAGAACTGGTTTAAACATGAGTTAGTACTGATTTAGTCCAGGTTTAGAAATGGTTTAACAATGAGTTTGTCCTTGTTTAGTCCCAGTTTAGTCCCGGTTTAGTCCCAGTTTAGTCCCAGTTTAGTCCTGGTTTAGTCCCAGTTTAGTCCTGGTTTAGTCCCAGTTTAGTCCTGGGTTAGACCTGGTTTAAAGATGGGTTAGACCTGGTTTAGTCCTGGTTTAGACCTGGTTTAAACCTGAGCTTAGAAATGGTTTAACGATTAGTTTGTCCTAGTTTAGTCCCAGTTTAGACCCGGTTTATCATGTTTTAGTCCGGATTTAGTCCTAGTTTAGATCTGGTTTAAAGATGGGTTAGACCTGGTTTAGTCCTGGTTTAGAACTGGTTTAAACATGAGTTAGTGCTGATTTAGTCCAGGTTTAGAAATGGTTTAACAATGAGTTTGTCCTTGTTTAGTCCCAGTTTAGTCCTGGTTTAGTCCCAGTTTAGTCCTGGTTTAGATCTGGTTTAAAGATTGGTTAGACCTGGTTTAGTCCTGGTTTAGAACTGGTTTAAACCTGATCTTAGAAATGGTTTAATGATTAGTTTGTCCTGGTTTAGTCCCAGTTTAGACCCGGTTTATCACATTTTAGTCTGGATTTAGTCCTAGTTTAGATCTGGTTTAAAGATGGGTTAGACCTGGTTTAGTCCTGGTTTAGTCTAAGTTTAGAAATTGTTTAACAATGAGTTTGTCCTTGTTTAGTCCCAGTTTAGTCCTAGTTTAGACCTGGTTTAGTCCTGGTTTAGTCTTGGTTTAGTTCTGATTTAGTCCTGATTTACTCCTTTTATAGACTGGGATTAATAAGAGTGGTCCTGGTTTAGTCCTACTTTAGACCTGGTTCAGTCCTGGTTTAGAACTGGTTTAACAATGAGTTTGTCCTGGTTTAGTCCCAGTTTGGTCCTAGTTTAGACCTGATTTACTCTTAGTTTAGACCTGGTTTAGTCCTAGTTTAGACCTGGTTTACATCTTGATTAGTCCTGATTTAGTTTCCACAAAACTTGACCAAGACCAAGACTTGTAAGGTAAGGTTTAGTCCTGGTTTAGTCCTGGTTTAGTTCTGGTCTTGTCCAGGTTTAGTCCTGGTTGAGTCCTGATTTAACCCTCTTACTATAGTCCTGGTTTAGATCTTTTTTTATATTTTGATTAGTCCTGGTTTAGTCCCGGTTTAGTCCTGGTTTAAACATGTGTTAGTCCTGATTTAGTTCTTGTTTAGACTTGATTTAAAGATGGGTTAGTCTTGGTTTAGTCCTGGTTTAGTCCAGGTTTAGAACTGGTTTAAACATGAGTTAGTCATGGTTTAGTTCCAGTTTAGACCTGGTTTATCATGGTTTAGTGCCGGTTTAGTCCTAGTGTAGACCTGGTTTAGTCTTAGGTTAGAGCTGGTTTAGACCTTAGTTTAGTCTTTGGTTAGACCTGGTTTAAATATGAGTTAGTCCTGGTTTAGTTCTAGTTTAGACCTGGCTGAGTCTTAGTTTAGACCCGATTAAAACATGGGTTAGTCCTGGGTTAGTCCTGGATTAGTCCAGGTATAGACCTGGATTATCATGGTTTAGTCCCGGTTTGGTCCTAGTTTAGACCTGGTTTAGATCTTGATTAGTCCTGGTTTAGTTTTGGTTGGGTTCAGGTTTAGTCCTGGTAGAACATCTATGCAAAAATATTTTCCTAATTTTTAATGAAATAAAAATTTTAATTTAAATTTTCGATTTCGCCCCCTGCAGGAACTTTAACCAAACTGCCTCTCATTTTCAGATCTAGACCTGGATCATAACCGGACTGAACATGGACCTGGAGCAGACCTTCACACAAAGATCCCAGAGATAAACCCTTAGACCCACCGAGTCCGAACACCTAAACCCAGACCGTGTCCAGTCCCGTCGTGGTCCAGCCCCAGAGCGGCCGGAGCTCCAGGATGGCGGAGGGGCTGCTGCAGGTGCACGTGCCCGACTTCGGGAGCTCGGTCCTGGGGAGCCTGGAGGAGCAGAGGGCCTCGGGGCAGTACTGCGACGTCCACATCCTGGTCCAGGGACAAGTCTTCAAAGCCCACCGCGCCGTCCTCGCAGCCTCCTCCCTCTACTTCAGAGACCTGTTCAGCTCCGAGCCCGACCACATACAGGTGAGGAGACCGGGACCAGGACTAGACTAGGACCAGGACCAGGACCAGGACTGTACTGAGATTATACCAGGATTAAACCAAGAACTGTACCAAGACTAGACTTCAGAGACCTGTTCAGCTCCGAGTTGGACCATAGACAGGTGAGACCAGAACAGGACTAGACCAGACGAGGACCAGACCAGGACTACACCAGGACTAGACCAAGTCTAGACTAAGGACTGTACTAAGATTACACCAGGATTAAACCAAGAACTGTACCAGGACTTCACTTCAGAGACCTGTTCAGACCTGGTCTCAGTCTTCAGCCTCTGGACTTGGTCCAGGGACTCGGTCTCTGGTCTCAGTCCTCAGAGTCTCTGGTCTGACCCGGTCTCTGGTCTCTGGTCTTAGTCCTCAGAGTCTCCGTCGGTGCTGGAGTTGCCGTCGTCGGTGTCTCCGGCGTGTTTCGAGCAGATCTTGTCGTTCTGTTACACGGGTCGCCTGGTGGTGGCGCCGCAGGAGCAGCTCGTCCTCATGTACACGGCCGGGTACCTCCAGATCCAGAACATCGTGGAGCGAGGGATGGAACTCCTGATGAAGAGCGCGTCCTCCTCCTCCTCCTCCCCGCTCTGCTGCGACTCACAGGTACCAGGACTAAACCAGGACTAGACCAGGACTAAACCAGGACTAAAACAAGACTAAACCTGGACTGCAGAACTAAACCTGGGCTAAACCAGGTATAAACCAGGACTGATCTGGTCTCAGTCCTGATCTGATCCCAGTATGGTCTCGGTCTGGGACAAGACCCGGTCTGGTCCCGGTCTCAGTCCTGATCACCCGATGCAGGTGCACCTCTGGACCCGTCCCGACACTCCTGGTTTAGTCCTGGTTTAGTCCTGGTTCAGTCCGTTATCTGTTTTTTCCATTTTTCATTTAAACACAAAATCGAAAACTGAAAAAACAAATCATTATGTTTTTTTTTTTTCCATTTTGCTTTTGGAGACAAATAATGAAGAAAAAACTTTTTTTTTTTTTTTTTTTTTTTTTCTTATTTTTGGTTTAATTTTGAAAAACAAATGAACGAATGACACTTGGTTTATGGAGATCTAGATGTTTTGTGTTACAGTTAAACCGCAGAGAAGTAAAAAAAAAAAATAAAAAATGGGTAGTTCATTCCTTTGACCTCTGACCTCTGACCCTGCCCCAGACGTCGGCAGAGGAGCTGGGAGGATTCGAGGCGCCCGCCCCCCAGAACAGCGCCCCCCACAGGGAGAGTCCGGACCAGCCCTGCCTGAGCTCCGAGGAACTGCTGCTGTCCGTGAGCCGGATCAAACAGGAGAGAGCCGATACTCCGCCCGCCGAGGAAGAGCCGGAGCCCAGGTGAGACGCACGACAGGTGAGACTCTCCACAGGTGAGACGCACGACAGGTGAGACTCTCCACAGGTGAGACGCACGACAGGTGAGACGCACGACAGGTGAGACGCACGACAGGTGAGACTCTCCACAGGTGAGACGACAGGTGAGACGCACGACAGGTGAGACTCTCCACAGGTGAGATGCTCGACAGGTGAGACGCACGACAGGTGAGACGCACGACAGGTGACGACAGGTGAGACGCACGACAGGTGAGACGCACGACAGGTGAGACGCACGACAGGTGAGACGCACGACAGGTGAAACACACGACAGGTGAGACGCTCCACAGGTGAGATACTCGACAGGTGCAGGGCCGTGTTTCTCAAACTGTGCTCTCTTTCCAAACACACTGGCACTCATGTCAGTGACTGATGCCCGCTGACATGACACGGTGGCATCGCTCGTGGCCGCGACAGCAGCATAATTGTTATTGTTCACCCCAAAACGTAGGGCGCACTTTACATCGAGCACGAAGTCAAACGACGCAAAACACAAAACGATGAAAAGAAAACATCTGTAAACGAAAAACGCTGCATAAAGAGTCGCCACAACCTGCAGGGGGCGCTGTCAGTGTAACAGCTCAATGGAGAGAGACAAGGCCAAGACGATAAACTACAGTGGGAACTAATTATTGTTATGGCTCATCAACATCACAGATCTATTAAAATAATGAGTGATGTGCAAAAGTGTCACCTCGTAAAATCAGGGAAATCAGACTTCCTGTCATAACTCCAGGTTCTCTATTCCTACCAAAAAAGTGACTTAGTTCAAAAATATAACAAAATATTAAATAATGCACAAAATCTGGCGCTTTCAAAAAGCAGAGAAACCTGTTAGATATACAATAATGTTTTTAAGATTTAAGATTACAATTACTACAATAAAAAATATTACCCAAGTAGAAGTAAAAGTATGCGGCTAGAAAAGTACTTTAGAAAGCACAATTTCTTTACCAGAGCTGGATCAGAACCGGTCTGGAGAGGGTCTGAAACAAGTCCAGGTGAATCTAAATGGGCCTGGACACCTTCTGACCTCTCTCTTTTTCTCTTTTTCTCTTGTTTTCTGTTTTTTTCTGTTTTTGTCGTCAGAGGCGAGCTGAGGGGCGGGGCTCTGTGTTACCTGGGCGCGGGCGTGGCTCAGATGCAGTCCTTCCTGATGCCACCAGGGGGGCGCTGCAGTCCCGGCTCCAGTCCTCAGGCCACAGAGGAAGAGCTGGACGATGATTTCTACGCCAACGCGGTCAGCACCAGCCTGTACCAGCACCTCTACCCCTACGGTAACTTCCCACTCACTCTGAACGGAACGACCACTTCATGACATCACGAGGTGGAACAGAGCGTTTGGAGCTTTGGAGATGTAGACAGACTGATAATAAAACAAAACACAACTCCAGGTCTGTTTTTTGAGGAGGGAACAACATTAGAGCACAAACCATTTTATAAATAACAAATGTATCATATTTGATACGTTGGGCCTTCGTGGTCATTTTACAGAACACAACCATGTTTATTTTAGGACCCAACTAAATTCTCTTTGATGCATTTAGAACTCAGAGAAACTTTTCTGAACACTTCCTTTTCTGTTTTTGAATCTCTGAACTGAATGATTTTTATTTTGCCATGTGGAAGGAGAGAAAACAGTTTTAATCCTTGTTCATCTCAGATGTACGTTACATTTCCCACCGTACATGTGTGTGAAATGATTATAAATAAATGTCAAAAATAAATGAGTGACTCTTCTATATGCTCTGAATCAGTAAAATATAGATTATTATTTATTTTGTGTGTGAAAATTGAAGAGACAGTTACACCAAATAAACCACTGACCTTTCATTTATTTACAAGTCAAGTAAAGATCAAAATTCCACCATTATGCAATAAACTGAAAACATATTTTTTAAGGTGACATGTGACGTCTTAGTTATGAAATACTAAAAACTGTGTGTTGTTACATTGGATATGATATAGTGATGATGAGGTTCATAATCACAAAAACCTGCTGTATCAAATTTGATACAAACTATTTTAACATGATTTTTCTACAAAGTGAAGTAAAAATATAAAGACGTAAAGAAGTAAATGTTCATATTGAAGAATCAATAACAATATTTAGGCAAATCTTCTCCAGAAACAGATAATATCTCCTCTGAGCCTGTTATTTACTGAAAACCATGGACAGTCCACCAGGGGGCAGCAGACAAGTATTTAATTGTAAACAGCTGAACACTGCCCCAATCACAGACGAATTCCTCGTGAATATTAACGGCTCGAGTCTCCGTGTAGCTGCACATGTAGTGGCCGAATGTAAACACACACAAACTGCACAAATTCACTTGCATAGCCCTGCACCGAACCAAACGTCTCGTACCAAAATGGTTTGATTACACATGTACCGTTATAATCCGCGTGTCATTCGTTCATTCATTTTTCAACAGTTTTCTTCATTATTTGTCTCCAAATCCAAAATGAAAAACTGAAAATGATTCGTTTTTTCATGTTTTGATTTTGTGTTTAAATGAAAAATGGAAAAAACTGATAACGGCCGTTTCCCATTTACGTGACTTCCGTGACTGCGATGTCGGACTTTTGCACCGCATACGGACTGAACCAGGACTGATCCAGGTCCAGGACCAGACCGGGACCAGACTGAAGGCTCAGAGTCCACAGCAGGGCCGGAGCTCGAAGCTGAGGCTCGGACCCCGCGGAGGCTTGGAGTCAAAGCTCGGAGTCCGCTCTGGTCCCGCTCTGGTCCTGGACCTGGATCAGTCCTGGATCAGTCCTGGTTCAGTCCGTATACAGTGCAAAAGTCCGACATCGCAGTCATGGACGTCACATAAACGGGAAATGGTCGTTATCCATTTTTTCCATTCTTCATTTAAACACAAAATCAAAAACTGAAAAAACAAATCATTATCTGTGTTAACAGTTGTTGGTTTTATATTGAAAAACAAATGAACGAATGACACACAGATTCATTATAACCCTAAGTTTGATACCAAAGAACAGACTCACCAGTTCTAATACCACAGTGCTAATAAAAAAAACAAAAAAACACTCTTTCTTAGACAAGAGAATGACTTTCCACAGTAAATTAGGGTGATCAGATTTTCAGAATCAAAAACTGGGACACTCTGGGTTTTGGGTGACTTTTTCGGTGGCTCGTGTCTGATTTTTGTCGTGTTTGTCTGTACAGTCCCGGAGAAGCTGGACATGCTGCCGCTGCCGTTGGCCAACGAGCGTCGCGCCTGCGTTCTGATCGGCCGGGACAACATGGCCCTGCCGGCCAGTTTGGTGAGTCAGATCGGGTACAGGTGCCACCCGGCGCTGTACGCGGAGGGGGACCCCGGGGAGAAGCTGGAGCTGGTGGCCGGGTCGGGGGTCCTCATGACCCGCGGGCAGCTCATGAACTGTCACCTGTGTGCGGGCGTCAAACACAAAGTCCTGCTCCGGAGACTGCTGGCCACCTTCTTCGACAGGTGAGTCCGGACCAGAGCTAAGGCAGGACTAAACCAGGACTGAACCAGGATCAGGACTAAACCAGGACTAAACTGGGACTAAACCAGGATCAGGACTAAACCAGGACTAAACCAGGACTAAACTAGGACTAATCAGGAAGTGCTTGGATTTTAAAGTACTTTTGAGGTTTTTAAAGGTCTTAATGCTCTTAATCCTGTTCATTTATTTGATCTGCTTTTATCATATGAGCCGAATCAGGTCCTCAGGTCCTCAGGTCCTCTTTAAATGTCCCAAGAGTCCAAAATAAAACTCCTGGTGAAGTGTCCTTCAGTTTTTATGGCCCCCGTCTATGGAACAGTCGACCTGAGGACTTGAGGACCTGAAGTCCACTGCACGTGTTAATATTTTTTTAAAAGGAAACACAAAATCTTTTTAGATTAACTTTGTAACAACTCTTATACTACATTATTTTTTTTGTACCACTTTTATATATATAATTATATTACAATATATATTATTTACAAAAATATATTACATTTATATTTATTTCTTAAAGGACTTTTACATTGCCTTTATTTCATTTTTTATCTTTTTTTTTTTTAACAGTGCCCTAAAGAGCTTTTGTATTTTTTGTAATTTATGTAACTTAGTGGGTGTTTGTGCTTCATCGAGTCTATGAAAAGTGTAAATAAAGTTTGATTGATTTGATTGATTGACACTTATAAATGTTGATTTTACAGGATATGTCTTTTTTAAAATAGAAAACCTCAATCTGACACAAACATCAACAGGACACACTGAAACACGTCCAGAAGGTGTAAAGCCCTGAAGCAAACTGAGACCAGGACTGAGACCAGGACTGAGACCAGGACTGAGACCAGGACTGAGACCAGGACTGGACTGAAGCAGGATTCTTTCTGTTGATCTTCTGACATAAGTGAGTTGTGTTCACAGAAACACTCTGGCGAACAGCTGTGGGACTGGGATCCGCTCGTCCACCAACGACCCAACCAGGAAACCTCTGGACAACAGGGTCCTCAACACCGTCAAATGTAAGACTCTGGACCAAACCTGGACTAAACCTGGACCAAACCTGGACTAAACCAGTTAATGTTGTCACAATACTTTTCAAGCTTCATTTTGATAAAAAAAATACCAGATTTTTACAAATAAATCTGTGTATTGTTTGTTCATTCATTTTCCATTATAAAATCAAAAATAACAAAACGAAAAAAACAACAGTTTTCTTCATTATTTGTCTCCAAAATCAAAACGAAAAAACAAATAATGATTTCTTTTTTCAGTTTTCGATCTTGTGTTTAAATGGAAAATGGAAAAAACGGATAACGAACTGAACCAGGACTAAACCAGGTCTAAAACAGGACTGAGTGTCAGAACGGGCCCAAGACCGGGACTGAGACCAGGACCAGACCAGGACCAGGATCAGGACTGAGACCAGGACCAGGACTGAGAATGGGACTGAGACCATGACCAGACCAGGACCAGGATCAGGACTGAGACCAGGACTGAGACCGGGACTGAAACCGGAACTGAGACCAGAACCAGGACCGGAACCAGGACCGGGACTGAGACCGGGACTTATCTTTATTTTTCGCTTCAAACACGTTTTTTGTAACCATGTCCTCATGGAGAAAGTGAATATTTGGCTGCAATGGAAAGTCGAAATTATCTGGCATGACGACAGAAGAAACAAGGCGTGCTAAGTTTATTTATTAAAACTTTACCAATCAGTAATGTTCAGCTGATGTGGACGCGGTGCTTGAGCTTCGTGCTCCTCAAAGTCCTCGTCCGATTCCAGGTCCAACACATGCGGCTGAACGCGCTGAATCTCCATGATGAATAAAAGTTTATTTCTGACACTATCAGGGTCACGTCTGTCTCCCCCTCCCTCCCTGAGACGGCGGAGGAAGGGCGGCTCACTCAGAGTCTACGTCACGTTTGGAGGGCGGAGCCTGTGCTTTCTCAGGACGGGCGGGGGGAGGAGCAATAGTCGGACTTTCATAGTTCCTGGTCTGTGACTGTCTCCAAGAAATCAGATTTCAGAACTATTGTGTAATGGATGTTCCAAAACCCAAACTGTGCTTGTTTATGTGCAGAAGATGCAAAGTGAAAAGAGTTATTTTACATCAGATGTTTCTTTAAACCGTGTGTAATTCTCTTGGTCTCTCCTCAGTGTACTGCCAGAACTTCGCTCCAAACTTTAAGGAGAGCGAGATGAACGTGATCGCCGCCGACATGTGCACCAACGCCCGCCGTGTCCGCAAACGATGGCTCCCCAAGATCCAGTCCCTCCTCCCAACCGCCCCCCCCAACCGCCTCAAAACGCGGAGGGGCGGGGCCGGCGCGGGGGGCGGGGCCAGCCTCAACCAATCCGCCGCCTCGCCCTTCGACGTCGACCTCCGCTCGTACCTGCCCCTGCCGGATCCGCTGAAGGAGAAGGAGGCGGGGCCGGCGTCGCACCTGCCGGCCGTGGCGTCGCGAGGGGGCGGGGCCGAGGCGGGGGCGGGGCACGCGGCAGAGGGGGCGGGGCTGATAGCAGGAGCCACGGGGGCCGACGGCGGACATTCTTCGGAGCAGCACGAGTCGTCCTCCGACGCATCGTGCACGTCATCACATCCCTCCCCCCAGCCCCCAGACCAGGACTAAACCTCGACTCAAACAGGTCTTAAACCGGACTAACCAGGACTCACATTTGGTCCAAATCAAGTCTGAACCTAGAACAGACGAAACGCAACTCTACACAGAAAGACTCTTCGACATCAGGCCCCGTGAATCCAATCAGAATTTATGTTTTCACTAGATTAGATCTGAAAGTTTAACTGACCAACAAAAAACACGTCATTTGGATTTCAGTAAGAAAAATATTACTACTGTATTTTCCAGAGTATAAGTCGCACCCGCCAAAAAATGCAAAATGAAGAAGAAAAAAACATATAAGTCGCACTTTTTAGGGAAATTTATTTTATAAAATCAGAGACCAGGAGCCGACATTTCCTGTGTAAAGTCAAGTTTTAGTAAAAACAATAGAAGAGAAAACAACAGACTGTTAACGTCACATATGAACAGTTCTTCAGATAATTATTGGTCAGTCTGGCGCCACCTAGTGTCTCCGCTCAATTTAATTTCTCTCCAGGGACTAGATCAGAAATCAGAATACACAAGACGGTTTACAAAAGCCAGGAAGTGTGAGTTTGGGCACCAGCCAATCAGAAGAGTCAGACATTCTGTGTTGACAACACGTCCCAAGATCGAGGATTTAAATATAATTTACACCCCTGAGTTTTAAGGATTTGCGTGTGACGTGTCAGTCACATGTTTTAATGTTTCGGAGGGCGTACTGGAGGTCAAGACTGGGATTATTCAGTTTATTACATTATAATCATGGCGACTTTAAACGACGCAAATGACATAAAAGTGTCTGAATTAAGCCCCCAGGTTCCAAAATGTTCTCCCATTCAAGTCAATGGGCCGAGCTCAATGTCTCATGATCCCAGATTCTCCTTTAGCCCTGTGAGTTTCTTCTGGTGGCTGTGGGCCGACCGAGCATGTGCAGTAGTGTCTTTTCTCCCGTGGGCAACACAAGAATGCACGCGACCGTACACACGGAGCTCGGGCTCCTGTATCACGTGATCGTTTTGACCAATCAGAGCGAGAGGAGCAGAGCGGAACCAAAGCGAACGATTATAAAGTGTTTTTTAAGACAACTGAAGGATTTTGAGCTGAGAGAAAGTGTATGATCTAAAAATAGGTAAATATCGCCACAAAATCTGACACGAGCAGTTTGTGATTACACTGAATCTATGAGAAAAATCTTCTCTCGGCCCATGGGATTTTTTCCGCTGTAGAGCCAGTGAGAGTCACTACATCAACTCAAGCTACAAGTAACAATACTGTATCCAGTTATTTTAATAGATTCATGGTCTGAAATCAGCAGCTCGTTAGATCAGCGTCATTAGGAAGGTATAAAGCTAAAGTCGTCCTCCTGGGTTGTGGAACAGATCCTGATCTAATTCCAGTGGAGCTTTGTCAGTTTAATCAACCCTCGCTCTGTGCCCAAACTTTAGTCTCCAAATATTTATAACAACTTCATTAATTTGACATCGTCCGACACAACCAAGAACTGAAAAACTACACGGGATTAGAAGCGTATAACTATTTTGTAGTGGGAGATCTGAGGACGAGGGTGGGTGGATGGGGGGTTATTCCATGTCGGTACAACGGTGAGAAAAACTACTTTTGGTATATTTGGTATCATTTCATTTAGTGTAAATCCCTTCTTCGTTTGTGTGGAGCTGGTCCCTCACCAGAAATGAAATGTTGACTGACAGACGATGGTTTTCAGTGGACTTCATCTCTCTTTTCTGTCGCTCTCCACCTCTGTCTGTGATCTTTATCAGCCAGGATGCGATAGAAAGATACTTCGGCCTCCTTCTTTAGCAGATTGACTCCGGACAGAACATTCAACAGCAACACAACTCAAAAACATTGTTATTTAATTCAAATTTTATCACACACAAATACTCCACGTTGGTCCAGATGGACAGTTTGACCTCCAATACACCAGGTCGTGTGGATTTGTGACGCAGACGCAAAACCTCAAAAAGTGTCAGGAAACACCCAAACCATGAAAAAAGTGCGACTTATAGTCCGGAAAATATGGTACATTTAAACCAATCAGAAATATCTTTAAGCGGAACTAAACACCTAAACTATGACCAAAAACTTCTGGAAACTGAAGACAACACTCAGATTATTTAGATTTATTTGCCCCGAAAACTGCAAAAGTACCAGGTTT